ACAATTTCATTCATAATTTTTCCTCCAGCAAAGTAGTCCCTTAAATACATAAGATAAAACCCTGGGTATTTTCTGATAGACTAATGGGCCCAGCCCATACAAAAAATAAAACACATTTAATTAATTGTAGAAATCTTTCATCCATTTGGGCTGAGTTCTTTTTCGAGTGGGCTTGCTATCACTACTTTCCGGCCCAGTTACAACCTTGTCCTCAAGGTTGGTAGTGATATAGTTAGAAGCAGGGGTTTTGAAAGCTGTGGTCCACGTGATAGGCCCAACCGATTTGGATCCACTATCTGAAGTTGGAGCGGTGTAAGTGGGAGGCAGCTCATGCCCACGTGTTGGAGAAGGATGGATTGCCTGGACAGCTGTCTTGCTGCATGCAAGGGGAAGTGGATTAGGTGGGTTACGTGTCTCGATGCATGCTAGTGGCGCCTTGAGTACTGTGTTTTGCTTTTGGAAAGTGTTGGGAACAGACAAGTCATTAATGCCTTTGGAAAATGGTTTCAAGACTTTCTTCACTTCAACTTCAGAAGTTTCGCGTCCCTTTTGTTGCTCACTTTTTCGTTGTTTACTCTCCTTCAAACTCTCTGGGTTTCCGGCTTTCTTCGCGACCTTCTCTGCGTTATGTTTAGCTGTTGTCTCAGCGCTTCTGGTTTCATCATCCGCCGTGGCATAGAACTGATCTGGCTTCGCGTTAGGTTCAGTGGTTCCGATTAAGTCATCAAAAGTGGTTGCATGCGATGGATCTTCATCAACTGAGGTTGCTTCTTCAACGGGGAGAGGACGGAACTGCTCTTCCGGGTCTGTACCATGGAATGGACGCAGTTGTGAGACATGGAAGACGGGGTGGATTCGAGATGTGTCCGGAAGATCTAGATGGTAAGCTACACTTCCGATCCGGCGAAGAACTTTGAAGGGTCCAAAGAAGCGTTTGGCAAGTTTATTGGAGGCACGTTTCTGGACGGAGCTCTGACGGTATGGTTGGAGGCGAAGCAAAACCAAGTCTCCTTCTTGAAAGGTTATGTGTAGCCGTTTTTTGTTGCTTTGAGTCTCCATATAAGAACGACTTCGCTCCAGATTGCGTTTTAAGATGTTAACAATTTCTTCTCTGTTTTGTAGGGACGAATCCACCATGACCAAAGATGAAGAGCCTGGTTCGTAATGGGGAAAAGAAGGAGGGGGCCGACCGTAAAGGGCTTCGAATGGTGACATGCTGATGGAGCTATGAAACGCGGTGTTATGCCAGAGTTCCGCTAAATGTAAGTATTGAAACCATTTCTTAGGTTGTTCACTAGTGAAACACCGTAGATAAGTTTCCAAACAACGATTAACGACTTCTGTTTGTCCGTCCGTTTCAGGGTGGTAGGCGGTGCTGTACTTCAAGGTGGTGCCTTGTGCTTTAAACAATGCCTTCCAAAAGGTGCTGAGGAAAATGGGGTCACGATCAGAAATAATGGTGCGTGGTATTCCATGAAGCCTACAGATCTCGACCGAAAATCGTAGAGCCAAATCCTTTGCAGTGAACTTGGTGGGAAGGCCGATGAAGTGGCAGAACTTGCTGAGACGGTCACAGATTACCCAGATGACTGTATGGCCAAAGGAATTAGGTAAGTGAGTAATGAAGTCCATTGTTAGATCTTCCCAGACTTGGTTTGGTATTGGTAGAGGTTGAAGCAATCCTTGTTTCTTTTTGGTACTGTATTTATTAGTTTGACAGATTGAGCAAGTTCTAACGAACTCTTTTGTGTCTCTGTAGATACCTGGCCATAGGAAGGCGCTAGAGACCCTTGCAAGTGTTGGTTGGAGTCCTGAGTGGCCAGCAACCGGTGTTGAATGATACTCTTTCAGGATGCTTTGTCGCAGATTTTCAATGGGAGGTATAAAGATCTTATCTTTGTAGTACAATAATTCATCCTTGAGGGAAAAAAAAACTTGATGGTCATTTTCAGCTAATAGTGTCTTGATAAGGTTTTGGCCGTCTGGTTTGGTTTTGTAGTACTGCTTGAGGTGTGAGATTAGCTGAAGTATTGGGGATGAAATAGAGAACAACAAAGCATTTTCTTCTGTTGGAATTCGGCTCAAGGCGTCTGCAACTTGATTACACTTTCCAGGTTTGTAAAATATCTCGAATTGGAACCCTTGTAATTTGGCAGCCCATTTTTGTTGTTCGGGGGTTTGGATTGTCTGTACTAACAAATTTTTCAAACTCTTCTGATCAGTGTAGATATGGAAATGTCTGCCTATCAAGTACTGGCGCCACTTTTTAACTGCCTCAGTGATTGCATACATTTCTCGAACATAGACGGAGGAAGCTTGGAGGCGAGTGCATAGCTTCTTGCTGAAGAAAGCTAATGGATGGCCTTGCTGAGAGAGAACCGCTCCGATTGCAACGGCTGAGGCATCTGTTTCCAAGACGAAGATTTGTGCAAAGTCCGGGAGGCATAGCACAGGCGTTTTTGTCATTTGCTGTTTTAATGTTGTAAAAGCGAACTCTGCTGCTGTATTCCATACTAATTTAGTGGACCGTAATAAATCGGTGAGAGGAGCGGCGAGAGAGGCGTAATGACGAACAAAACGTCTATAAAAGCCGGTGAGGCCTAAGAAACCCCTGAGAGTCGTGAGTGATCGTGGCCTTGGCCAATCAAGTATAGCCTGAATTTTAGCTGGATCCGGGGTGACGCCGTCGCTTGAAATAATGTGACCTAAATAATCAACACTTGGAACAGCAAAAAGACACTTGGAGAGCTTTGCATAAAATTGGTTAGACAATAATGATTCTAAGATTAATTTTAAATGAATAGCATGATCAGCTAGGCTGGAACTATAAATTAAAATATCATCAAAGAAGACTAAGACAAACCGACGTAGATACGGGCGAAGCAAATCATTCATAGCGGATTGAAATGAACTAGGGGCATTTGTTAAGCCAAAAGGCATAACCAAAAACTCGTAATGACCATCGAATGTCCTAAAAGCTGTTTTGTGTGTATCACTTGGTGTAACCCTTATTTGGTGGTAACCCGAGCGTAAATCGATCTTAGAAAAAATAGTTGCAGAACCCAATTCATCAAAAAGTTCATCAATTGTTGGGATTGGGAAACGGTCCTTAACTGTCACGGCATTTAAAGCCCGATAGTCAACACAAAATCGCCAAGATCCATCTTTTTTTCGTACGAGCAAAACAGGGGAGGAGTAGGGGCTGTTACTGGGTTTAATGATCCCTTCATGTAACATGTCTTGAATGATGGAAGTCATGGCGTCCTTTTGAGAATGAGGGTAGCGGTAGGGTTTCACGTTGACAGGGGAGGTGTGAGGGAGAAGTGGAATGTGATGATCATGAGGTCTTGGTGGGGGAAGGCCTTGCGGTTGTTTGAAAACAGCTGCGAATGAGTGGAGGATGTTTGTGATTTGTTTGGGAAGTGAATTAGGGAATTGCGTCAGGGTATGGGGTACCTTTTCAGAGTTGGGGGCAATTGTTTCTGGAGGTGGTTGATACAGGAGGAGGTGTATGGAAGCTATGGAGTCTGTTTGAATTAAATGACAAAGGTTGTTGTAGGATGCGTGTAAAGGAAGGGCTTTGGGGTCCCCGGTGATTGTGATTTGATTGGTTTGGTGTGTGAAGGTAATCTTTGGGATGGAAAAATCTGCTAGGATTGGCCCAAGGGTACGCAACCATTCCATGCCTAAAACAACGTCTGCACCTTCAATAGGTAGTAAATGGAAGGGAATCTGGAATGTATGGTTCTGTAGGGTAATAGGGACTGCTGGGCAAAGTCCTGAGCAAGATAGTTTGGAGCCGTTACCAACCATCACAGAGAAATTGGGTATAGGAGTTGTAGGTAGTCGTAGATGTTGGGCGATACGTGGTTGGAGGATGTTATGGGTGCTGCCGGTATCGATTAAAACTGTCACTTTAAGACCATGAAGTAGGCCAGTAAACTTCAGTGTTTTTGGGGAAAAGAGGCCGTTTGCTGCTTGGGGAGATAATTGAAAATAAGTGTCCTCATTATGTGTGGGGGAAAGATTGGTTTCATTAAGGTCAGGTGTGTCTTCCGGTGTTGCAACGTCCTCTTCTTCAATTAATAAGAGGAATTTGCTGGTGGAACACTTATGACCAGGAATGAATTTCTCATCACAATTAAAACACAACCCTTGTGCTCTACGCTCTTGGAGTTGAGCATTTGATAAGCGTCTGATGGGAAGTTTGACGGTGAGAGGGGGTGTTGGTGATTTATAGGTTGGGTTGTTGATGGTTTGGGTGGGTACAGGTGGAATGGATTTGGGTGTTGGGGCTGGGGATGGAAACGGCCTGTTGTATTTAGGTTTAGAATCCTTGATTTTGGATTCAAGCAACTTGGCTAGACCAATGGATAAAGAGTTTACAGCTATTAATTCAAGATCTAGGGTTACCAACAAAAAGGGAAACAAAATTAGCGAGAGAAATGATAGAGATAACAATTTCATTCATAATTTTTCCTCCAGCAAAGTAGTCCCTTAAATACATAAGATAAAACCCTGGGTATTTTCTGATAGACTAATGGGCCCAGCCCATACAAAAAATAAAACACATTTAATTAATTGTAGAAATCTTTCATCCATTTGGGCTGAGTTCTTTTTCGAGTGGGCTTGCTATCAGGTTGTTAATTGAATTGTCAGCAATGGGAGGTACAACCCCTCAAAGTTCTGTTATCTATACTGTAGTAAGAGGAATTCTTCCCTAGTTCACTCTAATGAAATACTTGCTCCTTTCCGTCTGACAATTACCAAAGAAAATAGATATTGGCACATGCTATATGAGGTATATACCGAATCTACCTTCGAAAAAAAGTTATAATGGGAAATATAAATTGCAAATTAGCAAGGGAGTGTTGAAAAGTGTGTGAATGAAAACATGATCAAGTCATGGTAATCAAATTGAAAGCATTTCGTGACAATAAAAAGAGAAAATTACGAAAGCTTGAAAAGATGATAGATCCTTAGAGACGTGAGAAAGAAACCTTTGACTGTGCAGAAAGCAGTTTGCTCTTCAACAGTGCAGCAGGATTTGCAGGTACCTGATTTAATAAGTTACCACATTCCATAATTATTGAGACAAAAATTTCTGCATAAACTGAAAACCCATTTCCAAAGTCCAATCATTTCAAAATTGAAAAATAGAAACACATTTTAGAATAACAGAAGTTACTGGCAAGACATACCAGAAGTGGTGTCCCATTTTTCACAATATAGCGTTTATGCTGTGACAGTGGCTGTAACAATAAACAAAATATCAATCTTATAAACAGAACAGATATGCAATCTCCGATAGGCCAATCACCAACATTTCTAAACATCCAATTTCAACAACAAAATCCATACTATAATTCAATTCAAAGAGCTAACGCTCTAGCAGCTCAAAAGATTAGAATGAAGTCATCACGGGGAAATAAATAAAAGAAATTGCTTTATATTTTTGGGAAAACATGGTCTCTAACATTATATTCAGACGCAAAATAATTCTTACATATTGTTGCTTTTCTTGAAGTCCAAGAGCACTAATCAAACCTTTAACCTCTGTTTCATTTTCAGTCTGCAGAGTACAAAACATGAAAAGTAAGAACTTATGTCGCAAAAGGGTAAATTATAAATTTCAATTTTTATACATGAATTTTATTTTTCAATACATAACCCTTTCAAAAAAATTGTTAAGATTCATATCTCGTAGATCATGTAGGAAGCATGTGCCTTCGAAAGTAGATGGTTGATTAGCTTGCAGGATAGCATAACTCACTATTAGCCTACTACCTATGGGATGTCATAAGCGACAACTTTGAATTATTTTAACCTAAAAGCCAGGAGGATTGTATGTGGTGCATTAAATTAAAAAATGGCAGAAATACCAGGTAGGTTACTCTTAATTTTCCCAAAATTAAATTCAACTTGTTAGAAATCTTCCTCTAATGTGAAGATGCTCGTTAAAATAGAGCACGGGAATATCATGGATGAAAATATCAACAATTCAGAAATTGAAATTTCATTGAGTACGGACCATTAGATAATATGATCCAAAATCTACAGATTGGTGACAAATCTATACACTCTGAACTGAATCTCTCATCAACATTTACTTACATGTACTGTAAATTTTAAATAACTATGCACACTTAGACTAGTAACCTTACCATTGTATTAGCCCCCTCGTCCCAAACTAGACCGTCTTGAGAAACAGTTCTTAACCTCCCTCCAGCTCTTCCTTCAGCTTCCAAAACAGTTACATCTAGACCATGTGATTTCAATTTGTAAGCCGCAGCAAGCCCACTTTATACCCGAAAAACAAATATAGACAGTGACAATGTTATGAATATTTAGAATCTCAAATACATCAATTGTTATTATATGCCGCCCATGTGATTGGGAGTATAATATAGATTAGAACATACAAACAATCATCATATTTCAAGTTAAGTGCGTCTAACAATGATATGAATTCTAAATCCACCAAAACGAAACATAATCCAAACCTTCAATCCGATTAAATTGAAGATGCGAAGAAGTGAAGCAAGCACATTACCTTACACCAGCACCAACAACAGCAACTCTTTTAACAGATCCTGCAGACTCAAAATTTAAGGATTAACACACTACTCGATTAAATATGAACCTAAACAGAAATTGATAACGATTACTGGTAATATTAGTATTATGAGAAAAATTTGGGAAATGTGAATGAATTTAGAGAAAGAAGCGAAGTTACTTTGGTTATCGTCTTTTGGAGAGGAGGCCATCTTTGTCTTCGACTCAGCTTCCGTCCAGTGGTTTAGCTTACGCGCATGGGTTTTGACATTTGAGGAAGGTTTCGCTCGGTTGAAATGAAGTTTTTTTTATATTTTATTATTTACTTTTTCCTTTTTTTTAAATATATTTTTACTTATTTATTATTGTAATTTCTTCCTAGGGTGATTTAATTAAATATTAGGTATGATTGGATTGGTGGTATCTAATTATGATTGTCACGAGGACACAATCTTCATGTATAAGGATACTACAGGTAGCAGGAAGTTAGCGATCTTAGCACCATAATAGAGATGAGTGTCGTCATGGATGAACTGCACCACCAAAATCAAACTTTGGAGGACAACGTCTTTAACATTTAACGGCGGCAACATGAGGCTACTCCCAAAGAGGAGATGGAATTGTTGGACTCCCAGTCAGTCTTGGACGAGATAAGAGAAATCTTAGACCCAAAAAGGGAAAAGTGTTATCCAAGGAAGAGGACGACAAGGTTGTACGCCACATGCTCAAGAAGAAGAGATGATTAATATTTCATTAAACTTAGGAAGAGATTGCAAGATGATTATTTTACATTGTCTTATATAAATCATCGTTATATCCTCTAGCAATGAAAGCGGTCTCTCATCCTATATTTGTCTCATTTTCATCTTCATCAGAGTCAAAATAAACGAGTTTCTTTGGCATCTTCTTCTTCTTCTTCCTAAGTTTCTTCTTCTTTGAAGTCTTCCTTACTTTGAATGCATCAGTCATCTCGCTTCGCTCATACATATCATTCGTCTAGCATAGCATAGCATAGCATGAAACCTTGTAAAATCGAATAAGAACACCAAAGCCCAATCCCTATTGGCGAACACCAAAGCCCACTTTATTGGCATCCCAAGAAATCCAACGTCCAATCCATATTGGCAATCACCAAAAGTCCACTTCGATGGCATTTTCATGAACTCAAAACTCAATCCCCATTGGCATCCAGAAAAATCTCTCACTTTCCAAAGAATACCAATCTAAAACCAATCACCATCAGGTTTCACCTGTCTTTCCCCAGCAGCCCGAGCATACATCGGCATTTTGCATATAGTAATCATCATTACATTGCATCCTCAAATGCGTAGTATATCCATTTGAAATAGAGCATTACGCCATGGAAAATTCAAGCATGCATGTGAAGCATAAGCCAGTTTTGGTACCTTGTGAAAGCCAGAATCAACTATTGTTGTACCCCAAAATTTGCTCAACCTTTTCTTACCTGGTTTATGTTTCATAGTATTAACATTTGCATAGTTATATCATTTGCATATCATGATATCATTCATATAGTAGGGGATCAAGTGTGATTCCTCTCAAGAGAAGCCTAGCAAGGGGTCTCATTCAAGATTGAGAAGTTGTTAAAGTCATTAGAAGGTGGTTTGAGTGCCTAAGGGTTTAGATGTTTGAGTGTGAATCTTCTCCTAACTTGAGGATCAACTGAAGACCATCAGAGGGTTGTGAAGTCTTGAATGTGAGAAGAAGATGTGTATGGAGCTCATAGAATGCCTAGAGGGCCATGGGGGAGTTTAATCAAGTCATTGTGTCAATTGCAAGAGTCACAGCTGAGGTGCAAGCAATTAGCGTTTCATCTGGGTTAATTCTAGGTCAACTGTGCAATTGAAGAGTATCAAAGCCTACTTTTAGGTCATGGAGTTCATGAAATGATATTTTAAGACATTTTTGGTGTTGTGCCAAGATCAAATCAAGAAGAATCAAGAGTGTGGGAAGTTGCTAAATTAGGGTTTCAGTGCAAAATTCCCTATTTAGTGCCTAACTTCAACACCACATAAGTCAAGATACAAGTTTCAAATGGATATTTGGCCAACATGAAACTTGTAGACCATATCAATACCTTTAATTTGAGTACTAGAAGTCTTCAAGGGTATTTATAGAACTCAAGTTATGACCCAGACAAGTTACAAGTCCTCAGATGCCTCTGAAATTTGTCTGTGAAAATCATCTGACTTCAAATCTATTTTTGACCTAGAGGGAGGTTTCACCTGAACTTTTGGCCAACATGAGAGTTGTTCCTCATGATCTTAGCTTTCTAAATTGTACTATAAGTCTTCCATCTTATTTGTAGAACTCAAGTTATGAGGTTTACAAGTCAGGGGTATTTTGGGAAAGTGAGATTATAGGTCATTTTCAATCATAGGTCAAAATCTCCAACTTGCACTTGTCAAATGTATTTTTGTTCAACATGAAAGTTGTTCAAAATTTGGTTTTTAGGCTAGCCAAAAGGTCATGATGGATTGATGAGGCTCATAGCAAGACTTGGTTTGAAATGGTTTGAATAAGGAAGATTTTCAAATGGATTAAGGAGGGAAATTTGATTTTTTGAGTTAAAAGACCAAAACATGTCAAGTAGCTACATTTTTTGAATGGAAATTGAATTCTAAGCACTTTGGCATTAGCAGAATTTTGAGTTTAGGTCAAGTTTTATAAGTTGTCATTTGGTTACTTCAAATGCAAGTTACACATCCAAGTTCCTTACCAAGGCATTTCAAGCACTCCTTTTGGTCTGAATACATCCACAAGGCAATGTGCAATTGAAAGGGAAGTTTCTATAACCATTTCTATGGCCAATTCGTGACTGTTACATTGCACATGTGAAGGAAAATCAGAAATTGCAATTGGTTGGATTGGGCCTCAAATTGAATTCAAAAGCCCATGGAAACATTCTATATATTCATTGGATTGATTTCAGATCAATTTTGGAGTCATTTTTGTGCCAGAAAGCTGAAGTTGCAGTTGAGTTTTCAAGAGGAGCAATTGAAATCGTGTTTTGAGTTCCAAGCCAATTCAGTGCAAATTGAAGGTTGAAGACTCTTTCTCTTGCATCCTTGAGTGATTCTGGAGAGTTTTGAAGCTTGATTCGTGCTCTAGCTACCTCTGTTAGTGAATATACATCAGGTTAGTAAACTTCAAAATTCCTCTTGATCTAGGGAGATATAGTTCATATTATGCATGTGGTTAGGATCTAATAGAGGAATAGATCGTTTCTGGTTTGAAATTGGAGCAATTAGTGACAATTTAGGTTGGAGTGAATTTTCTGTTTGGACACGAGTTGGTTTGGTCTTAAGGAATTAAGATGATTTGGATAGATCATGATGAACTAGGAAGCGTGATGAACATTTATGTGCAATTATATTAGAGTTTGGTGATGATCAATGTTGGAGTGTCATTTGAACTTTGAATCGGATTTGAAAACCTAGCCTGATCTAGAGAAAATGAGTATGATATTTAGAATCTACGTGAAATTTTGAGTGAGATTGGTATAAGGTTTGGAGTTTTTGATCACCTGCAACCACCTGTTCACCGGAGAAGACGACCGGAGGTCTTCTCCGACCACCTAAACAGTGCTCCCCCCATCTGAGGATTTGAACGAAGACGATGATGCACTACCGTTGGATTGGTCTTTTGAGAAGACTTAGTAAGAGCATCTGATGGCTCACGTTTGATCTGAGAATTTGACTCTCAACCAAAACGCAGCGTTTCATTAATCCCAGTCAGCGTGTGACTGGGATGCCTGCATGGACACGCTCTCTGCCTTTGGATCTGAGTACTTGGTCAATTCATCCAACGCTCCATGTTTTATTTCAACTTTTTTTTCTTTTAATCATTTTTGTTTTATTTTAAATGTATTATTGCTTCAAAAAATCACAATAAATTCAATTTTGATCTTAAAATTATTTTTAAAATGTCTCCATGATCTTGAGAGAATTTGTGATTTTCTGAAATCAATAAAATGCATTTTCATGCATTTTTTCATTTTAATTTGATTTTTCTTATTTTGTTTAATTCTTTAATATTTGCATATTTGGCCATCTGTCTTGTTGAATTTTGTTCTTCCAATTGCTGATGAATTTGGCTTTGATTTTTTAGTATGTTTTAGGGTAGATATTCATGTTACCTTAGAATTTTTGGTGGAATTTTAGAACAAGTTTAGGTTCTGTTTTAGGTGTTGAGATTAGAGCCTTCCCAAACTTGTGGATCACCTTGATACCCTTCAATTTAGAAATTATTTAGGTGACTTAGAAGTTGAATTAGGCTTTAATATTTTAACCCTAGATTTTTCAAACATGTATGTTCCCCTAGGAATTTTATTAGAATTTTACAACTTTGTTTTCTATTTTAGTTGTATTTTGCAAGTTGCTTGTGCTTGTGGTGTTCTATTTTTAGTGCTCTTGTTTGTTTGGTTTTGTTGGTGACTTTGGAGCTGGTTTTGCTTGGATTCCTTCTTGGGAGGTCTTCTAGATTTGGTGTAGCTGTTGTGGCTTGAAGATTGGAGCCTGGAGTTGAAGCTTTCTTCTCTTTTAGGAGTTTTTTAGGAGCTTAGGAAATTAGGGTTTTAGGAAGAGCCATTAGGACTAGTTTTGATTCTTTCATCAAACATAGAATGCATTGTGTGCTTCTATTCTATCCAATGATGTAAAGTCCTCCTAGGGAAACTCCATCTCTCCTTTGGAGGGATGTGTGGTATGCCCATTGTTGAGTAGAACTTTGAGGATGCCTTTCCATTTCAATGTTGGTACTTGATGATTTCCTTTGGTTTTCATTTGGTTCTCAACATTGCAACCTTGATCTTAGTGATTAATCCTTTGCTTGGAGTGTGCTTGCTAGAGCTTGAAGATGAAGTTTGATGAAGCTTGAAGATATAAGCTAGCTTGAGGATGAAGCCATTTTTGCTGTCAATTTTGCTGTTAAGAGGATTTGTTGTTTAGAGTTGCTGTTGTTGAGTATTGCAGTTGTTGTCTGCTGAAGACTGTTGTTGTTGCTTGGGCTGCTTTCTCTGTTTCTTTTCTTTTGTTGCATTGTTTATTTGCTTATGTTGATTACCTCTAGGTTTGAGGGGGAGCTTGTATCCTCTTGCCTGTTGTTTTCTTAGGTTTGAGGTTGAGTCAGACTCCCTTGCCTCGCTTGTATTGTTGCATAGCATGCATTTTATTGTTTACTATTTACTGCT